CATGGCAAAAAAAAAAAAAAATGCATTGACCCATGTCACTTTAGTTTTGTGTATTTCACTGTACATAAATTATATTTCAATATTTCAATAAAATGTATTAAAAAAAGAATAAAAAAACCTAAGAGACTCACCACGAAAACTACTGGAACTAATTGGGAGATTTAGCATAATGGCAGAATACAAGATCAACATAAAAATATAAGTTGGATTCCTCTACACCAGCAAAGAGATTGCTAAAAAGGAATTAAGGAAATCAGTACTATTTATGATAAAAACCAAACTCACTGCTATTGAGTCAATTCTGATTCATAGTGACCCCCATTGGGTTTCTGAGGTGGTAAATCTTTACGGAGGTAGATTGCCCAGTCTTCTTTCTGCAGAGTGGCTGGTGGGTTTCAACCACCATCCTTCTGATTAGCAGTCAGATAGATGCCTTAGGTACTGTGCTACCAGAACTGGCTACCAAAAAAATAAAATACTTGGGAATAAATCTTACCAGGGACACAAAAGACCTGTTCAAAGAAAACTACAAAGCACTACTTCAAGAAACTGTAAAAGATCTACATAAATGAACTATTGTATGGAAAGTGAATTTGCTCTAAATTTTCACCCAAATCACAATAATTAAAAAAAAAAAAAAAAATCTAGGATATTTGATTGTCACAGTAAAAAACAAACAAACAAACAAACTACATAAATGGAAGAACATGCTCATGGATAGGAACATTGGACATTGTGAAGATGTCAGTACAACCCAAAACAATCTATACATTCAGTGCAATCCCATTCTAGATCCCATCAACATTCTTTAAGGATCTGGAAAAAGCAATCAGTAATTTTATATGGAAAGGAAAGAGACCTTGGATAAGCAAGTACTATTGAAGAAGAGGGAGCTCTGGTAGTGTAGTGCCTAAGGCACTTGACTGGTAACCAGAAGGCTAGCAATTCAAACCCACCAGCCACTCCTCGGAAGGAAAATGGGTCAATCTACTTCCGTAATGATACTGCCTCGGAAACCCAAGGAGGGGTCGCTATGAGTCGGGTCCGACTCAAGGGCACATAACAACAACAACAACATTGAAGAAGAACAAAGGAGGAAGTCTCACACTCTTGGATCTCAAAACCTACTATACAGCCACAGTAGTCAAAACAATCTGGTATTGGTACAACAACAGGAACATAGACCAGTGGAATAGAATTGAGAACCCAGACATAGAACCGTCGACCTATGGTCAGCTGATATTTGACCAAGGGCTGAAATCCATTAAATGAGGAAGAGATAGTAGTGGTCCTGGCAAAACTGGTTATCCATTTGCAGAAAAATGAAACAAGATGCATACCTCACACCATACACAAAACTAACTCCAGGTGGGTCAAAGACTTAAATGTGAAACCTAAAACTATAAAGTTCCTCAAGGAAAACATAGGGGCAAATTCAGGGGTCTTAGTTTATGGCATAAATAGACTGTCAAGCATAGCCCAAAATGCATTTTAGAAGGAAGCCTCTGACCTCTGGGAGGAGTGGGGATTGGAGAGTGAACACACAGGGCCTGCCAAGAGGTTGTAGCAGCAGGTCAGGGAAGAAAAAGTATAGTCCAGGAGGAGGATGGCAGCTGCAGTATAATGTCTCTGAACCTCAGTTTCCACATCTGTAAACCAAGAGGGTTGTGAGGATTTTATGAAGTAATTCATAAAAAGTGCTGCCACATATTAAGTGCCCCATAATTGTTAACTATTATTGTGGCTGGCTTTGTACTATGTGCAGCTAGTATTTGACCCTAGATCCATCTTAATCCAAAGACCTTACTTAACCATGTGAAATGATGAGGTAGATTAATTACATTACTCAAGGGCAGTCTTCTCCTCCCATCACCCTTGCATCCTGGCTTCCTCTCTACTTCTGTAACAGAACCCATGGGGCAGAGGGGTCAGATGGCTGCTGGAGTCCTGACATGATTCTTTATTCTTCCCAGATCACTGAGACTCAGAGGCTGGGGCTGGCCAAGGCCTTAGAGCTCAACACCACCTTCCTGAAGAAGTCACTGCAGGCCGCTCTAAGACATCTGACCTCTTGACTATCTACCAAGGGACCACTCCCATGGACCTCCCTGACCAGATCCCTGAAAGACACTTCTGTCCTGATCAATTTACTCTGACCCTTTGCCTGAGGGTTAAGGCTGAACTTGGCCCTCCCAGGAACAAGCCATCTTCTTTCCACACTTCAGAAGATGGATATCTTGGCTTCCCAACTGGCAGGGCTGCCCCTGGGCTAAGAGGGTGGATTGTCATTTTCAAGGGCTGCTGACCCTCGGCTCAGTCCTTATCACTTCTACCTTAGGCTCCAAGTTCAGAAGCTTTCTGCTAGGACCCCATAGGGTCAGAGCAGCCCGAGTAGGTGTGTGATGCCCCGGGAGTCCCAGAGGACCTGTGTGTTCAACACAGAGCTCTTGTGCTTAAGTGTACATTATGACCATCTGTGTTTTTATATCTGATGAATAATAATTTCTCAAAGGTATTCAATAAAAAGCAAGTTCAATTATGTCTTAATAGAAGGAATGCTTGCCTTCCCATTATCTCTGGGTACTTGTTGACCCCATCCCAGCCTCCACTCGTTGACAAGGGACATCTTTTTCCTAGTGAAATGTTGTAGGGGAAGAAGGTGGTAGAAAATTATTTCTCAACATAGGGGTTGAGTAGTTCATTCAAGTTTTGTGGGCCAGGTGATCTATGATACCATCCACCCCAGCCCTACTAGAGTTGCTTGTTGGGTATGGAAGACCTACCACTAAGGGGAGTGGGGATGGTGTCCTTAAAAGTGGGAGTGACTCAGGCTGGAGTTGGTGAAGGCTTTTGGGGAGGTGACATTTGAGGAGGCATCTGTAGAACTCTGGAGGTTACTGTGGGTGGAGGAAAGAATGGGGCCTGCTGCACAGGAAAGGACAGAAAAGATGATGTGTTATACTGTGGACATACCTATTTTACATTTTTATATTCTCATAGCACCTAGCCCAGAACCATGTTCATACTAAACCCTTGATAGGTAGATGTTATTGAATCAACTTTTTAGTAAAAGTTTTCTACAGCAGCATCCCAGCCCTTTCTCACTGCAGGCATTGATAGGCCAGGAACAGAAGTTTCTTGACACTTCCCTTACCAAAACCTGTTTGGAAACCATGAGTCCCCATTAGAGCAAGATGATGAGAGAGGTTGGTCAGGCCCAGGTCAGGCCTCCTTTTGAGAACTTAGCCAAGACCCCTAGTGGTGCAGTGGTTAAAGCACTTACTTAGCTGCTAACAGTTGTTGTTGTTGTTGTTATGTGCTGTCGAGTCGGATCCGACTCATAGCGACCCCTCCTTGGGTTTCCGAGGCAGTATCACTACAGGAGTAGATTGCCTCATCTTCCTTCCGAGGAGTGGCTGGTGGGTTTGAACCACAGCCTTCTGTTTAACAGTCAAGTGCCTTAGGCACTATGCTACCAGAGCTCCTCTGCTAACAGTAGTGTCAGTAATTTGGTCCATAGGAGAAAGATGTGGCATTCTGTTTCTGGAAAGATTACAGCTTGGGAAACCTTATGGGGCAGTTCTACCCTCTCCTATAGGGTTGCTATGAGCAGCGGAGTTTTTGGTTTTCAGAACGGAAGCTGGGACAAAGGAAGGGAGAAAGTGGACAGCGGAGGTTTCCAAGGACAAACATACCAGAACTGCATGTTCTCAGCGACCGTAAGGTGTGGTAAAGTACTACACATGTATACTCAAGCCCTGGAACCAGCAGCCCTTTCCTAGCTTGGTAGCAGCTGCAAATAGGGATGGAGGTCCAACTCTACGGCACATAGCAACAAACAACAACATTCCCAGGTGCCAGGGGGCCCCCAGGACTGCATCACAGGTCGGTGGTGTGCGCAAGTCTGGCAGTGCTGCAACGCGCGGCACCGCCCTCCAGTGGTGGCCGATGACAGCGCTCTTTGGGACTGAGCGACCCAGTCGCGCGCAGATGGGCCACAGGAACAAGACCTCTCGCGAGAACGGGGCGACTATTTGAACGCATGCGCGAACAGAGCTAGTCTCTTTTCCGGTTACTGCAGCATTAGGAGCCATGAGGTTAGTGGTTATTAAAGTTCCATCTGCAGTAATCCGCCGCTCTTGGTGCCCGCCGGGGATGCGGATCCTACAGGCGAAATCTGGAGGCCTTTACCTGGCTTCACTGCGGGGCATTTCTTGCCAGGGTTCAGCTTAAGGTCTCCTTTCCCGCCAGATCCGGCCCCAAGAGGGCACGTTTTCCCGGGCCATGTGTCTGGCTGTCGGGCTCAAATCGCCCGATTGGTGTTTGGAGTCCCCCCTCGATTCCATGTTGCGCTGTGTTTTGGTCTTGAAACTTAGAGACACTAAGGTCTCTGAGGCTTTGACCACGCCGTGGGTGTTGAATTTGGCGGCGCCCCAGCCCTGAGCGCCCGTATGCCTTCTCTCTCTCGCAGTAGCAAAGTCTCTCGCGACACCCTCTACGAGGCGGTGCGAGAAGTCCTGCATGGGAACCAGCGCAAGCGCCGGAAGTAAGTGTGGGTTTCCTCGGGAGGGCAAGACATGGGGTGGTTTGGAAAAGTTGAGAGTTGCTAACTTTGTTCCGTTTCCTAAGGTTTTTGGAAACGGTAGAGCTGCAGATCAGCTTGAAGAACTATGATCCTCAGAAGGACAAACGCTTTTCGGGCACCGTCAGGTTGGCACCGTTCTGACCCTACCCAGCTCTCATTGCCCCTGTGACTGTCGTCTCCCTTCAGGCTCCAGCTGAGCCCGAGGCAGGCAGCCACTGCAAGTACTGATGTGCACGGGTAGTTCAGAAGCCCCTGCTTCGGGCAGGAGTGGCTAAGCGGACCCCCACCCTGGGTCTTAAAACATGAGGGGAGGCGTGGGGAGGCCCTGGCCGAGCCCGCCGGCTAGTTTGAGAAGCCAAACTAGTTGTTGGTGATGTGGACACTCTGGGTAAGGCTCCATGGCTGCAGTCCCAGACCCTTCACCTGCCTTTGTGACCCAGGGCTGGCAGTGACCCGTTGTGTTCCCAAAACGCAGGCTTAAGTCCACCCCCCGCCCCAAGTTCTCTGTGTGTGTGCTTGGGGACCAACAGCACTGTGATGAAGCCAAGGCTGTGGATATTCCTCACATGGACATCGAGGCGCTGAAGAAACTAAACAAGAATAAGAAGCTGGTCAAAAAGCTGGGTGAGTGCAGCTGGTGTGGTTTTCTATTGGGGGAGAAAGTCGTTAGAATTGTGAGGGAAAGAATCTGTTGTGGTTTCATTTTTGGAGATTTTATTCCATAAGGGAGGGAACCCAGACAGTGGTTCTATCTAAATAGGTGAGATTGAGTTGACTGTCCAGGTGTCAGTGAGTTCTAAATTGACATTTCTACTTCCAAGGTCTGTTTCAATTGCTTTTAATCTGCTCTCTGGTGTAGGCAGTAGTGTGAGATAAGTAAATAGATGCTCAAGTTGTCATGGGTCCAAGATCTTTACACTTAGGAAGTGTGGAGGCAGAATTTGAACCTAGACGGTCTTGACTAGTATGGGTAGGGGTTAGCTTGGTCTTCTGAAACCAGGTTTCATGTGAGTATTGCACCATGCAGAGCTCAGAGGATGGAGCTAGCCAATGGCAGAATCAGCATGCTGGGGATGGGAAGAGAAGGGGGTGCTGGTATTAAGACTTGGCCTTTGGAGGTGGGTGTTGATGGCAAGCTGGTAGAATAGAAGGTCACTGTCACTGTTAAAAAGAGACATAGTTTGTTCACAATGCTCTTTTGGTCCTACCGTGAATACTGAGTTTGGAAGGTGTGGAAGTGAGGCACTGGTCAGTTCCTTAGCATTCTGTGACTGGCTCCCTTTCTTCACCAGCCAAGAAGTATGATGCATTTTTGGCCTCTGAGTCCCTGATCAAGCAGATCCCACGAATCCTGGGACCAGGCCTGAATAAGGCTGGCAAGTTCCCTTCCCTGCTTACCCACAATGAGAACATGGTGGCCAAAGTAGACGAAGTGAAGTCCACTATCAAGTTTCAGATGAAGAAGGTAAGGGATGATTGCTATTGGCATGGTCGTGAAGTTTGCTGACAGGCTATAAAGGGGAGGGGTACTAGGGGCTGCTGTCTCATTCTCTTAATGTGTGTGTTTTGGGATAGTAAAACTTAAGGGTTGCTGAACAGGATTGAAGTTTTTCTAATAATCTGGTTTTGTGGAGTGAGCCATCTGGCTCAGAGTTGCACCCACTCCCCCACACACCCTGGCTGGCATCCCTTTACCGGCCTGACTTGACCCCTGTTTTTCCCTCCCCCAGGTGCTGTGTCTGGCAGTGGCTGTTGGCCATGTGAAGATGACAGATGATGAACTTGTTTACAATATTCATTTGGCTGTCAACTTTCTGGTGTCACTGCTGAAGAAGAATTGGCAGAATGTCCGGGCCTTGTACATTAAGAGCACCATGGGCAAGCCCCAGCGTCTGTACTAAGGCCCAGCTCAATAAACCCGACTGTTACTATCGCCTCTGTGTCTGAGTGACTGAGGTCGGGTGGGGGGGGAGCTTTATTAAGTAGTGTGTGCTGTACAGGTTGTTGGTTTTAGTTGGTAAGTAGTCATTACCTATGCTATAGACAGGACTCATTCCTGCTTTCAAAATCTTGGTTCACATTTCTTTAGATACTTAAAATACATGATGTAGTAGGTTGCTAGGTGACAGAAGCTTTTTAATATCCCTGGGAGGAGCAGTCTATTGGAGTGCAAGGCAGGACCCTCACAAGGAGGACATTGACAACAGCCATCAGTCCCTGGTTAAGCAGATGTTCAGAAAAAACAGGAACAAGTCAGTACAGATTGTAATCTGGAGCCTGGGAATGTTTTCTGGGAGGAGCCAACAGTGATGGAAACTTCCAGGGTCTTTGCCCTAGGCAGGCTCAGTGTCCCTTCCTTGACTTTCTGAAGTGCTTCCTGGAGTTCTTACCTCAAGTACTGGAAAGGTGGCTTTTGGTGTGGGAAAGGGCTGTGATTGCACCTTTGACTTGAATCTGTTTGTTTAACTTAACGTAAATAGAGGAACTAGTTCACCGTTCCGTTTTTTAAGAGCTAAAAGGTTAATCCAAAGCATAAATAAAGATTATTGCTCCAAAATGTACTCTCAAAACAAGCTATAATCTCTTGAAATCACAAATACAAGGTAAGATCTTCACCAAAGATTTGAGTAGTTTTCACCATTTAACTTTCTAAAGAACTTTTAGGTAAGGTGGCTTTAGTCTCATCCCTGGTGGTGAGTGGTAGATTTTCAATTTCAAGGTATTAGACCCACTTTGCTCCTTTCATCTGTCAGTGTAGTGTTTGAAACAACTAACGTTGGACAAAAAGTTCTGGTGGCGTAGTGGTCAGAGCGTTTGACTGCTAACCAAAAGGTTGGCGCTTCACACCCACCAGCTGCTCTGCAGGATAGGACAAAGCAGTCTACTTCCATTAAGATTTACAGCCTTGGAAACCCTGTGGGGCAGTTCCGTGTCCTGAAGGGCCACTATGAGTCAGTTGACTCAATGGCAGTTTGATTTCTGATTTGGTGGTTTGAACAATGTTCCTGGTAAAGTAAGGAGGGAAAGAAACTGGTCTAAAACTAGATATAGAACGTGATCTAAAAAATGTGAGTGAATACGTTTTACACCTTGTCTGTCAGGGGCAAGACGTTGAATGCACAGCAAGAGGAAATGGGTGCAAGAGCATTTGCTCTCTTGGTGTCCAATTCTCAGGGTCAATTCTCAAAGGATCAGAGAGAAAAGCAAATCGCCATTCACAGACCCAAAAGACATTTGTTGCTTCAACAGAATAAACATTGTTATCATGTGAACAGTGTTCCCACCTTCCTTCAGGAACATCATAATGGAACAAAGGTTTCAGGGGCAGTTTCTCATGACCTTCCCAGATAAGATATCCAATAAGTTGGTGTATGTGAGATCAAACATACACCTGGGTTTGAATCATGGCTCTGCCATTGAGCTGCATAAGCCTGTTGAGCAAGTTTTATTAACACTAACCTAAAGGGGATAAACGTGTTGAGTGCTTTGCACAATACCAGGCACTTGGCACTTAGGAAATAGTAACAACATAAAAGGAGTCCCTGTATGGTGCAAAAGGTTAAGTACTCAACTACTAACTGAAAGGTTGATGGTTCAAACCCACACAGAGACTCCTTGGAGGACAGGCTTGGTTATCTACCCTATGGAACAATTCTCTGCACACAAAGGGTCGCCCTGAGTCAGAATCGGGAACTAGCAATGGATGTACATACAAGTGCTCACACGTAAGTGCTAGATGTGTGTACAGATAAACCTTCTGGTCTGGCTCAGTCTGGGAATAGAGTTCAGTGAATGTTGGGGAACAGATGATTCCATTCAAGCAAATTTCCCCAATATTTTGGTTGAGTTTTGGACAGATTGGAGACAATCCTAAGAACATCACAACTCTTGCTGATGTGATGTGCTGTGGAGTTGGACCGACTCAGAGACCCCTCCTTGGGCTTCCGAGGCAGTATCCCTACGGAAGTAGATTGCCCAGTCTTCATTCCGAGGAGTGGCTGGTGGGTTTGAACCGCCAGCCTTCTGGTCAGCCGTCAAATGCTTTAGGCACTATGCTATCAGCCACACCCTCCTGTATGAAATGAACCAAGGATTAAAATCCTTAAATGATTTTGTAAACTAAGGCAAGATAAATGAGTATCTTAGAGCTACTTGGTAACTGGAGTCTTCCCAGATTATTAATTTGAATTTCCTGAATTTAAATAGAAACCATTCCACCTTATAAATCTATTAAGAAATGTATTGGGTAGGAGTCCCTGGGTAGCACAAACGGTTAAGTACTCAGCTACTAAGTGAAAGGTCCACCTGGTGGTGCCTGAAAAGGCTTGGTGATCTGCTTCCAAAAACCAGCCATTGAAAACCCTATGGGGCAGAGTTCTCTGTAACATGAGATTGCTGTGAGTTGGAATTGACTCAGCAGCACCTGATTTTATGCATTAGGTTTGTTGTTGAGTAGATTTTAACTCATGGCAACTCCCATGTGTTACAGAGTTCCTTATTTTGTCCCTGAGTGGTGCAAACAGTTACACGCTCAACTACTAACTAAGAGGTTCATGGTTCAAACCCCCACCTATAGGTACCTTGGAAGAAAGGCCAGCCAATCTACTTCTGAAAAGTCACAGCCTTGAAAACTTGATGGAGTTCAGTTCTCTCATGGGATCTCAATGAGTAGGAATCGACTGGATAGCAACTGGTTTGGTTTTTGGTTTTGTTTTCCCTGCTTTGGGACCTTGGAATTAGTCACCACTATCCTCTAAGTGGAAGTTCTGGTAGCGTAGTGCCTAAGGCACTTGATTGCTAACTAAAAGGCTGGCGGTTCAAACCCACTAGCCACTCCTCGGAAGGAAGATTGGGCAATCTACGTCCATAGTGATTACTGCCTCGGAAACTCAAGGAGGGGTCGCTATGAGTCAGATCCGACTCGACAGCAGTGAATGAACCTGTAAGTCTGCTACATTCACGCACGTGCTTCGGGGTGTGGGCACAAGCAAGCACAGACCACGTTTCAGTTGAGTTCTCTGCATGAGAGCCAGGTTACTCTAAAAAATTATTTGTAGGCCGTTTACTCAGGAGAGGTGTGAAGGCAACACCCCTTGTGATGCTTCAAGCACCCCCCACCACAAACCAGTTGTAGTTGAGTCCATTCTGACTTGTGCTGACCCCACGTGTTGCAGAGTAGAACTGTACTCCATAGGTATCAAGATTGTGACCTTTTAGAAGCATATTGCCAGGCCTTTATTCTGAGGCCCCTCTGGATGGGTTTAAACCATCAACCATTTGGTTCGTAGTCAAGTGCTTAACCATTTGCACCACTCAGGGAGTCCCAAGCACCCACAAGAGGTGGCAGAGACTATTTTCCAAGGTCAGTGAGCCCATTTCTTTTTCTGTAAATCAGGACCAATTCCTACCTCACAGGGATTGTTGTGAAAATTAAGTAATAGGAGGGACAGCTTTCAGCCCAAGGTCTGGCGCCAAGATGATAGGCTACCTGACTAGGTGTGTAGTATCACCAGGCACAGAAGTTCATAGTTAACACAGACCTGGCAATTCTACTAACCTGAAGGTTGGAGGTTTGTGTCCACCCGAGGCACCTCCGAAGAAAGGCAGGGTGATTTACTTCCCAAAAAGCAGCCACTGAAAACACTATGGAGCACAGTTCTACTCTGACACGAGTGGTGTTGCCAGGAGTCAGAATGGACTCAAAGGCTACTAGTTTATCAACACACAGGCTTGGAGTCAGGCAGACCTGCTTCAAATCCTGGTGCGATCCCTGACTGGTTTAACGAGTAGAGCATTTCAACTGGGGCTGGGACCAGAATGACCTACAGGATTCTAGAATAGGGTTGTCAGATTTAGCAAATGAAAATACGGGACAATTGGTTAAATTTGAATTTCAGATAATTTTTTTTTTATTGTTGCATGGGACAGATGCTCAAAGATTATTATCTGAAATTCAAATTTAACTATGTCCTGCATTTTATCTAACCCTATCGTAGTCTCATCTCAATCAGTATTCTGTACTCAATTCTGTTGTCACAGCCCCTCAGGGCCAAATGCTTGGTCCCTCATTCCAGTAACTAGTTAGCTAGACCAATCAATTCTCCCATACTTAACAGCAGTGAAAAGGCTGGATCTGATCACACCCTAAACCAAAGGCCTCATTGGAATAGTGTCCCTTGAGGATCTGTAGGATGGCCTCCTGGAGACTCCATGGCCCTGGCTGTGTGAGCACAAGGTGGCTCAGCAGGAAGAGCAGGCTGGAATGTTATTTCCACTGAGCAGCCATTACTGTGAGAAAGTAACTCATCACCTGTGTGTCAAATAAGGATGATGATAACCAATAGAAGTCACCGTGCCTTGGTCTAGTCTGTGAAGTGTTTGGCTCTGCTCCTATCTCAGTAGCCATGTGACCTTGGACAAGTCACTTCACTTACGAAGGTTATTGTACCTATACTGTAGCATTCAAGCCATTGCTAGGCATGCAGTAGGTGTTCACTAGTGGAAGAATAGAGTGGGAGAAATTTTGTGGTTGACAAAGTTATTTTTTAAAGCATTGTCACCAAATCATTTTTACTTTTTCCTTTCAGTTATTAAATTTTCTTACAACTGACTCTTTCACTGAATTTTAAGTTCCTCAAAGGGAGAGATTGAGTTTGGCATACACATATATTTATTAAAAAAACCAAACCCATTGCCTTCCAGTCAATTCCTACTCACAGCAACCCTATCGAACAGAGTAGAACTGCTTCCTAGGTTCCCAGGGCTGTAAATCTTTACAGCAGCATACTGCCTTACCTGTCTCCCATGGAGCAGCTGGTAGGTTCGAACTGCTGACCTTATGGTTAGCAGCTGAATGCTTTAACCACAGCACCACCAGAGCTCCTTCCCACATATCAAGGGATTTTTATAAACATCATCTTCTTTAATTCTCTTAACAATTCACAAAAATGACTCTAACAGATGTGGAAGTAAGCCTCAGAGATGCAATGATTTACCAAGGGTCCTAGAGTTAACCATCTGAATCTAAAAGGAGCTCTGGTGGTGCAGTGCTTAAGGCATTTATTTGACTGTTAACCAGAAGACTGGCGGTTCAAACTTACCAGCCATTCCATGGAAGGAAGACCTGGCAGTCTACTTCTGTAAAGATTTACCACCTTGGAAACCCAATGGTCGCTATGAGTTGGAATCAACTTGATGGCAGTGAACTGAATCAATACATTTATACTTGCATTTTGTATGGGTAAATGAAAATGCTTTGGAGTTGGCAAAGCTTTTATGGGGCTCTTGAGTGATAGCTACTTTAAGTGTGGGTGGTGCTTGTCCCTGTCGCCCATCAGAGATGGGGGTGAGCCTGGAAGGGAATGACACACCAGGATGCAGGAGCACCCAGGTCCTCCCAAGCTTCCTCCAGGAGTCTGAAGCCGTTCCAACCCAGAGGTTTGGCACATAGCTGGCCACACAATTGACCCACAAACAAATAACTTTAATCTTTTTTTTTTTTTTAAGCAGGAGCTGGGCCTGGAGGGCCCCTGCCCCAGCCCTGCGGCACATTTATGATACAACCCATCACAGCTGGATTTAAAAAATACACAAAAATATATATAATATACATTATAAAACCTAGGTTGGGTTTGGAGGTGGCCTGAGCGATAATGCAAACTGTGAGGACCTTCAGAAAGCTCAGGGGTGGGGTGGAAGGAGAGGGGTAAGGCAGGGAAGGGGCACAGTACTTCATATGAAACTCATAAATACCCAGAGGTTGCTGGTGCCTGGGGGCCGGCACCGCCCACAGGCGGCTGTTGGACAGGAAGAGCAGGCTCTGAGGGGCCCGAATGTTGGGAAGTGGCAGCAGGTTAAGGGTTAACCTTTAGTCCCAGAACTGGGTCTGGGGAGCTGCTGTTCCAGGCCAGGGAGACTGGAGGGTGGGGGTAGGAAATAAGAGAGCAGTACCCACTGAGGGGTTACCAAACCCAAATCTAGGGCAAGAAAGAATATCAAAGCCTTTTGTTAACCCTTGTCCCAGGGCGGCTAGTTTGCCCAGAGGCTGGAACTCTTACCTCCCTACCTGGCCCTGAACCATTTCTGAGTCCAAACTGCCCTGCCCCCCAGGGCCTTCCCACTCCAAGAGGCTGCTGTGGGGTCTTAGCACCCAATCTGGGCCAAGGGGCTTGGAGCGGTCGGCAGAGGCTACTGCAGCCCTTGGCTGGCTTGTGGGCTGATAAGCAGATGCCTCATACCTGCTGGGCTCCCCTCTTCCTACCTGGTCACAAGCACCTGCTCCCTTGTACTGGGGGACTCTGGGAAGAGGTGCTTTGTTCCATTCTCCCAAGCCACCCCCTAGAAGGCTCCTGTTCTCATTCCTGTCTCAACCCCCCAAGTGCAGGCTTCTTCTCAGCTTCCATGGCCACCCCCTACTCCAGGGAGGTAGGTCAACCTGGCCTCTGGGGACAGGCACTTGGGGATGAGAACTCCAACTCTCTCTACCCCTCCTAGGGGTCCTGCAACTTCTCTGAGTTCCCGTATCTCATCTGAAACATGGAGACTCCACACTTGCCTTGCTGTGTCTGGGGGTACATGGGGTATGCAGGGGCCTAGCACACAGCAGGTGCAAAGGGAGTGCCCCTCTCTCTTCTCAAGCCAACCCCAACTTGACACTCTCCCCCTTCTGAGGCCTCTTCACCCCAAGTTCCTTCTGTCTCCTTTCCACTCTTACCTGCCTATCACACTCCCCTGGGGGCCAGAAGGTGTCCCCTGTCCCACTTCTCTGAGGTCATTCAAGGTGGAGCAGAGCTGGGGACCGGTGGTGTGGTGTCCCAGGCAGGCTGCCCCACCGCTGAGCCCTCCTGGCTTCTCCCACAATTAAAGCGCAGAACAGTGGCAAGGAGTGTGTGTAGTGGGGGTTGGTGGGGAGGCTCCTGGGTCCTGGGCCTGGGTCCTGGCAGGCAGATGTATCCTCAAGTCTGGACCAGCCAGGGGTGCCAGGCAAGTGTGTGGAAAATGCTTGTCCTGGATCCTGGTGGTGGAGGACAGAACGCACCCTAGTCTTTGACAAGCTTGTAGACATGGTGCTGGGCCCCATGCTCACTGGTGGAGACTTCGAAGACGAAAGCAATGACGAGCAGGGTCTCCTGGGAGTCCCGGCTCGTTACCACCTAGGGGGCAGATAGGGAGATTCCAGAGGTCAGGCAGAATGGGACCATGGGGGAGGGCTCATCAGCCCCTTCTCCTTTCTGGGTGTCAGTCTCCTCATCTTAGCAATGAGTCTGGGCACCAGCCCTTGGAGGCCCCTGGGCTGTGGTTGTCCCATGACCCCCCTGCCACCCCTGTCACCTGCAGGATGGTAAAGTTCTCCAGGACACTGTTCATCATGTATTTCTCAGGCAGGTGCTTCAGCTTGTGGATGAAGTTAATCATGTACTCGCACATGGGTGAGCGGTGGATGCGATACACGAAGCGCCCATTTTCCAGCCGGGCGTACTCAGTCTACAGAGAGCCACAGGGAAGGTGTTACCCAAGCTTGCCTGCTCTGAGCCCCATCATGCCACCCGGGCCCTCACTCACCTCCACCTTCTCCACCACCTGCTTGCCAAAGGAGCACACCTTGGTGGAGACGCTGATGGTCATACTGTCGGCTGAGCTGTACTGGGAGCTGACCCCATAGAATGCTCCCGGGCCCTCCTGGATGGTGCTGTTGAGGTCGGCCTGGAGGTGGGGCAGGGAGGGCGTCATGTGCTGGCAGAAGCCAGGGGAGCCATCCTGCCATACTGCTTCAGTGTCCCCCCTGGACCCATCTCTCTGCAGGTGCCACAGGGCAGGTCAAGGGTGAGTATGGTGGGCCTGGGAGACGGCACATCTTTGTTGGGGATGTTGGGAGCACAGCAGGACCAGTGTGCTCACCCAGAACTTGACGAGGAAGAAGGCATTGGGGGGCCCCTTCTCATAGAGCTCCTTCAGCCCACCCTTCTTCTCCGGAAACTTGTCGTAGATCTGGCGCACGTCCACTGCCTCCAGGGGTGGGTCAGAGAAGGCAGGGTTCGTCTGGCCGATGTGCACGAACAGGTGTTTGCTGTACTGTGGGGAGGGCCCAGTACAGGGTCAGGAGAGCATTCAAAGGTGCTGGCCTGTGGGAGGCTACCCTGGGACAGAGCTGTCCTATAGCTTCCTGAACAGGCCAGAATCCCATGTGACCCTGAAGGGCCTCCATCTTCATCCGGGAGCTGTGGCCAAAGGTCACCATGCCAGAGTGCACCCATGATTGTGTGTACTCTTGCCCCCAACCCTAACACTTTACCGTGTCAGGGTCTCGCTGCACCTCCATGAAGGCCGAGTACTCGAGAAGCCGCAGCCGGGAGGAGGCGATGGTGCGGTCCTGCCACACAGGGACAGAGGCAGCAGCTGGGGGCAGTGGGGCCAGAGGCTCATAACCTGGAGGGTGAGAGACGGGCCACATCTGCATGAGTGTGTGGTCACACACAGATCTGCCCCAGCTTGTGCCGAACCTTTATGCAAATAGAAAACTGCACCTCTTTGAGTAGAAACACAAGTTGGAGTTCTACTCCCACCAGCCTCCTGGCCTAGGTGGCCATGCACAGTATACTACCTGCACAGCCATGTGCGATGACCCTGGTAGTATACATCAGTTAATTCTCCTTAGTTCATTATTGATAGGTGCTCAAATAGGAAACAGAGAAGTAAAAAGGTAAAAATAAAAATTACCCAGAATCCTAGCACCTAGACAGAGTGATGCCTTGTTAAGTAAGTTCCGATATATTGCCTTACAGGGAGTTTTCTATCCATGTATATGTGTGTGTATACATGCATATGCACGTATACAAATAAAAATGCAATTGTTTTTGGTGGATGTGCTCGTAACTGCGCGCTGGCTGTGCAATTTTGTGCCAGAGTTCTAGAAGAAACATTGTGAGAGGTAAAGGGAATATTCCTAGCCTACCCCCACCCCATACAGATGCCATCCACCTTTCTCTCCCAGGACAAACACACACACACACACACACACACAGAGTTGGACCCCAGCTCTCCTGAGCAGAGGTGTAGGTGCCAAGGGAGAGAGGTGGTGGTGGCAACCTTGTGTGGGAAACTTACTGCTGAGCGTCGGCGGCAGGGGTGGCTGGATGGGGTAGGCTGGCTGTGCAAAGGGCTTGATGCTGCAAACAAGAGCATGGCCTGGTTAGAGGCTTCCACGTGGCCCAGACCCTCACTCCATACCCCAATAGGGAGCCACTGAGCCTTTCTGCTGAGGCCCAGTAAGACCTGCTGACATGCTAACTCACAAGCTCTTTTCTTCACATTTGAACATATATGAAATCTTGCTGCATCTCACAACTGATGTGAACATTTAGTGCAGCATTTCAACCCCACCCACTGCAGCCCTATCCTGAAATGCTGCTCATTAAACTTTTAGAGGGTGTGTCTCATGATGAAAGTTGTTTTAGAATGGAAGAAACTGAGTATGGACATACTTGACTACCTAACTCAATTGAGAGATTGACTCAGAGATTAAGTGAGGGAAAAATAAACAAAGGGATGGATGATAAGTGAATGAGTGGGTCGATGAATGAACAAACATGTGAATAAACAGACAGATGGATTAGCTCTTTGGCTGACACTCTCCAACTCTCTATTTTTCAATGAAAACTTTGCTCAGTGGTTGCTGGGATCCTGATGGGGAGAAAGCCTGGCTTGGCTTCCAGTAGGAATAAGAGGATGTGGGAAGGATGGGCCACAATACTCACTCCTGAGAGGGTCCAGGCTGCTGTCCCAGGAGAGGGGGGCTGCTCCAGAACTGAAGAGACAGGACAAAGCCAAGGGGTCCCTCAGTGTCCACGACCCTCCTCAGAGCCCAGCCCCTAAGACACACCCCACCCTAGTCCCATCTCCCAGGACCCCTGTACCCGTGAGGAAGTGGAGAAGACGGCCTGGGGCAGAGGGGAGGGTGGGTTGAACTTGTTCTGCAGGACACTGGCAGAGACAATCTGGGCAGAGGACATGGACGCCATGCTCTGGAGGGCTTTGTCCTTGGAGACCTGGTCCTGGAGAGAGAAGGGGCTGGGTGAGGTTTGGGCCAGGTCAGAGAGGAGGGCTCTGCCTTGGGAGGGCAGGTCTGAGCAAGCTATCAGGGCTTTGGGAGTTCAGGTTTAGATTCTAGTCTGACTCTGCTGTGTGGTTTTAGGAGAGTCTCTACCCATCTCTGAACGTGTCCCGTAAGTGTACACCATCCCTGTGATGACAATTTACAGTAAAAAAATTATTTTATTCTGTAACCCTGTATATATCAAAACATTTTTCTTATTTTCTATTTCATCAGTGGTTCTCAAAGTATGCCTTGTGGACCAGCAGCATCAGCACCATCTGTGAAACTCAGAAATGCAAATTCTCAGGCCCCAGACTTCCTGAACCAGAGACTCTGGGGGTGAGGCCCAGCAATCCGTTTTAATAGGCCCAGGTGATTCTGATGCGCGCTAGAGTTTGGGAACCCCTCGGTTTCTTCTTTTCTTTCTTTAAATGCTGCTTGAAACTTGAAAGATTGGATAGAAAGCTTAGGGGGCAGTGAGTTTATGTTAATGGAGTAGGAACAGTTCGGAAAATGGGGGTGAGAATAGTTGCATAATTTGAAGAATGTGATCAATGTCACTGAATTGTAGGCGTAGAAATGCTTGAATTGGTATAGGTTTTGCTTTGCATATTATGAACAAAAAAAAGAAAGTTATTTAAAAAAAAAAATGCTGCCACCTTTAAACTAACTTTAGCCTAAAAAGTAGCAACTGTCACCTTTGAGTAGTGTAATTATGATTATTTTTTAAAATGTCTGTATCTATCTATCTATGACCAAAAGGTCAACAGCTATGTTAAAGCATAGATAAGAAGGTTGGGGGGGGCAGGGAGATTAAGTAAATGGAAGTGAAACAACTAGAACAGAAATAATGAGAATGTGGACACAATGTGAAGAATGTAACCAGTGTCACTGATCATTATGTCTAGAGACTGTGGAATGAGAGCAGGTTTTGCTGTGTATATTTTCACTAAAGGAGGTGGTGGGGAAAAAAAGCTGTAAAAAGAAAAAAAAAATATGTTGCTTGCAACCTATTAAACTGATTTCTCAATCCATAGTTTGAAAATTCTATACTAGGTGCTAAGACTCTTCCTCCCTCCCTCCCTCCCACTTCCCAGCCTGGGAAGGGGCAGTGCTACTTACCAGGTTCATGGCCTGAAAAGGAAAGAGGGGAGGATGGATTAGATGAGACACAAAGAAGGGCCATACAGGCTAAGAGTGGGTGTGTGGGTGGGCACAGCCTTTCCCCCTCCTCTACCCAATGAGAGCCACCACCTGGCTTTCAGCTCCTGAAGAGGCCAGAAAAGCTCTGAAGCAACTGTGGACCAACCCTATCCCCCAAAATATGCCCCCCAGAGGGAGGGCTTGCCAGCTAGGAGTACCCTGGAAAGGGTGGCATAAGGGAGGAATATGCTGGAGACCTGGCCAGTTAGTTGTCCAAGCTGGTACCCCCTTGGGTCTAGCCATGTCCTCTGGAGCTGTGCTATAGGTGTGGGGGCACTAGGGGTGGGAGTCCCAGCCAGCTGGGCAGCTGTGGGCAGGGAAAAGAGGACCTACTGGGGGTCCTGGACATAGGCCCAAGCCATAAACTTCTGGCTCTGAAATGCTCAGCCACAGAGCATCCAGGGCTCAGATTCTGATGTAAGGAATTACCAGGCACACCACTGTAGCCCTGTCAGCCAGGACCCTCCCCATGCCTCCTGCTTGCCCACCTGAAGTCCCCATGCAATTAGCAAGCAGCAGTTAGGAGGAAGGAGGAAAAGGAAAAGAGAGAAAAGGAAAGATGGGCCTCAGGGGTGCCTGGATGGTCTTTGTCTCCCTCACTGTAGGGCTGGTTGTCCCCTTGGCTCCTGCCAGGGTCTAACCCCAGAGCTGTGGCCTGGTGTAACCTGATGGGGCCTCTGGGCTTCCTGTGTCACTGTGTTTCCCAGGCCCTCTCATAGTCCCTCAGTCCTCTTCCTGCTCTAGGCTGGGGTCAGAGAGTGGCTACAGGCCTGGGCCCAGGAGGGTGCATGGCAGGGTTAGGCCAGGTGACAGGGGACCCCGTACCTTCAGCTTGGACTGAATCTCCCGAGATTTCCGCCTGGCTAGAACCTGCAAGTGGCTAGAGACCTGCAGAGAAAGAAAGAAAGAGCAGAAAGAGCAGAAGGAGAGGCAAGAACAGAGCTTCAGCCAGGAAAGAGGCACATGGAGTCGGAGAGCTGGCCAAGGCGGAGGCCTGAGCTGTGCAGAGAGAGCGGTGGAGGCCGAGGAGGGGCTGGAGACACCACCCAGGTGCCCAACATACCTTGATGCCAACCTGGTACTCCCGCACCTTCTTCCGAGCTAGAACCTGTATGTGGCTGGACACCTATGGGCCGCCCCGCGCCCCACCAGAGAGGAAAACACAGACAGTGAGGAGGCACAGCCATGGCATGGCCACAGGCAAGGGGCGCCCAGCCCTCATCTCTTGGGGACCAAATGTAAGTGAGGAAGGTTCTGGGGCCCCAATGGGCAGATACTCCTTGGCCCTGACAATTCTGCTCTCAGTGTTGTCTTGATCAAAAGCTTACAGTGCCTTCTAGGACCACTATGTACAGTTGTGTAGGTTGTTCACCAGGCCACAGGGCATGAGTGAGGGCTGAAATCCAGCCCAAACCTTGCTGGTCACAGTACATGCTCTGGTACAGGAATTCATCTACCCGAGAGGAACTTTTTAAATTTCTTCCCCCAAAAAAGGGTGTTTTCTCACTGGTGTCTTTGGAGGAGGCACTTTTTCCTAATTGGCACCAGAGAGGCTAGCAATGGCCATGGTCCTCCTGCTGACCATTAGATGAGTCTATCAAGGCCACATTCTTTACCAAACCTCTCTGGTGGCATAGTGGGTAAGGCATTTGGATGCTAACCAGAAGGTTAGTGGTTCAAACCCACCAGCTGCTCTGTGGAAGGAAGATAACACAATCTACTTCTATAAAGATTGACAGCCTTGGAAACCCAATGGGAGTCGCTCTGAGTCAGAATTGACTTGACGGCAGTGGGTTCTCCCCGTACCACTACCTACATCTTATCAACTCCAACAGCTTGCTGGCCTGTAAAGCCAGCCCTGGTCCTTCCTCTGCTTTGCTCATACAGCTTCTTCCCCAGCATGCCTTCCTTCTCCGTGGACTAACGCATGATAGTATCTATATGTATACAGTGTTAGTGATGCTGTTAACTGCCATTAAGTTGGCCCCTGACTCATGGTGATCCCATTTATAATGGGACCTAATCATGGTGATCCATAGTGTCTTCACTGGCTGATTTTCAGAAATCGACTGCCAGGTCTTTCTTCCTAGTCTCTTTTAGTCCAGAAACTCTTCTGAAACCTGTTCAGCATCATAGCAATATACAAGCCTCTACTGACAGGTGGGAGGTAGCTGCCTATGTGGTATACTGGCTGGGAATTGATCCTGGGTCTCCTGCATGAAAAGTAAGAATCCTACCACGGAACCACTAATGCCCTCATATACACACAGCAGGTGCTTTTAACTGTATTTCTTCCCCAGCAACCTCCACCCTGAAGCCTTCACTGACAAACCCGAGCTACTCATGCTCTTAGTGTGTGCCACCAGCTCACATGCCCGGCTTGCACAGCAGATTCTTGACATTGTCAATGATTTGACCCTGAGCCTGGGAGAACCCAAATGCCTCTGCTTTCTCCATGAAACAGCAGGAAACCCAAGATCCTCTAGGCTGCTTCACACTTTTATTATCAGTGATGGCTATTGGCTTTCTTGGCAAGTGGTTTTTAGCCCTATAAAGAAACAGTTTCTTTTTCTTTCTAATCACAAATGGGATGTTACTATGTATGTGATGCTAGGCAGCCCCCTGATGTTACCTAGTTAGGACCTGAGTGCTCCTCACACTGCCCACTGCACACAAGAATCAGACTCATGCCTCAGCAAGATTACTAATCATTTCAGGACAAGTTCCATGAACCAACTCATTTGATCTTCACAACAACACTAAGAAGTAGGTACTAATATTATCCCCCATTTACAGATAATGAAATAGAAGCACAGAGAGGTTAAGCAACTTAATCCAAGGTCACACAGCTAAGTGCTGAGGTAGGATTCGAACCCCTGTGCTCTGACTCCACAATCTACCTTGCTGCACCAGCAAGCTAGGTTACCAGGCCTCTCCTTTGAACCATTAGCACAGAGACCACCTCCAGATGGGAAATATCTCAAATGTTTATTCTGTGACAGCTGAAAGTTACCTGGGACTTACACCAGTATGTATCTGAGAAAACCTAAAACTGCATTTTTCTCACCAAAAATAAAATAAAAGTGAGCAAATAAACCTTGCTTGTTGGCAGGCTGCTCTTTGCAACACATGAAGACATGCTCTGTCTTCACAACTGTAGGCTGAGTCCCCTTTAAAGGTTGTTGCTGTTGTTGTGACGTGCTGTCAAGTTGGCCCCGACTCATAGCAACCCCTCCTTGGGTTTCCAAGGCAGTATCACTACTGGTGGGTTTGAACAGCCAGCCTTCTGGTTAGCAGTCAAATACCTTAGGCACTATGCTACCAGAGCTCCTCCTCTTTAAAGGGGATATTAGATATAAAAATCCAGAGTTCTAAAACTGATTAAAGTTAGAGAGGCTTGGCCTTGCAAAATGATTAAATGCAGTGGTTTTTAAAATTCCATGTGTGCTGACAGCTGGTTTGTAAAACCTCAACATATAGGGGCAGCCTTCTCAGGGGCAGGAATGATGCTGGGCTGAGAATTAAGAGGCTAGGGCTATGTCCTACTCTGGGCCTGAGTTCTTTCACCTGCATTACAAACTGACTGGACTTCCGGGCCTCTCTCCCTCTGATAAGCAGGTTCCTGTAAATACATGTCCCGAGGGGAGTGGGACATGCTGAGAGTGCCCTGTTCCTGGCTTGGGACTATTAAAAAACAAAGAAATGAAAAAGCCTTGCCACCTGGTCAATTCTGATTCATGGTGACCCCATGTGTTACACAGTAACTGCCCCATAGGGTTTTCTTGGCTGTAATCTTTACAGAAGCAGATTGCTAGGCCATTCTTCCACAGTGCTGCTGGGTGGGTTTGAACTGCCAGCCTTTAGGTTAGTAATTGAGCACAGACTGTGCCACACAGGGACACCTTTTGTTTATAATAATTACAGCAATAATAATTAACAGCAGCAGCAGCAAATTCTTATACAGTGCTTACTCTGTTCTAAGTGTCTTCACATATTAACTAACTTAATGACTGAGGAAACTGAGGCTGGAGGGAAGCACCTGTCCTCAGGGTAGTAGAGCTGGTATTAGAGCCCGGGGATCTGCCCTGGGAGCCTGGGTTCTTCTTACCCATAAGGCACTACTTCTCCTGTAGCCCCAGGCTTCCAGGAAACAGGGCTCTGGTCTGTCCAGTTCCCTGCTGTATCCCTTGTGCATAGAACACAGTAGTTGCTCAATAAATTGCTGAATGAATAAATGCTGTGTAACACAAGCTAGGAGGGTGGTGAATTAATGTTTGAATGAGGGAATCGTTCCCCCTTCCACCCTGGGTGGGGCCTCAGAACCTTCCTTTGAGGTGGGAGTCAGATAGGTTAAGCTTGTCATATGCACATGGAGATCTGGGGAGTATGGGCACATGGTCTAAACCCACCTGGAAACTGGAGCGGATAGGTCAGGCTGTCCTTGGGTTCTGGGTGCTGGCCCCCAGCCTCCAGCCCTGCCTCTCTCTCCCAGCTCCAGGTCTTTCAGAGCCACCTCCCTGGAAGACTCCCAGGCTCCCTCAATGGAACTCACCCCAACATATTCTGTTGGCTTCCAGTGGCCACATGCTCCCCTCCCTGGACCTGAGGCCACTGACCATCTCACAAACCACCATTTTTCTCATTCTCATTGCCACTTCCCAGGCCACCATCACTGCTGATACAGGTTCCTGCCTCTACCTCCTGGCCAGTCTCTCTGTGTCTGCCTGGCCTTCTCCAATACATTCCCTGATCTGCCCCAGGGCAATCTTTCCACCACCACCCCTGCTCTACCCTTCTGTGACACCCAGGGAAATCTGCCTCCAGCTACCATCTTTTGAGTTCCTTCACCCCTTCCTCAGCCACACCACATTGCTGACAGAGGGCTCTTTCCTGCGCAGGAGGCTGAAACCTGGATCTACCACCTACCAGCTGAGTGACCTTGAGGAAGTTACTTAACTTCCCTCTGCCTCAGTTTCCTCACCTGCAAAATGGACATTATTGCTCCTCTCTTGCAAAGTTGTTGTGAGGATTAATAAATTAATATACAGAAAGCTCTGCAGTGGGTTCTCCAGGATTACTATTTGTCTGTGCAATGTGTTCAGCCTGGAAGGACCCTTTCCCCTTTCTCTCCCTGGCTAACTCCAATCCCTCCTTAAAAATGCATTTTGATGAACAGATGAATGTTTTGTTGTGTATATTTTCACCACAATAAACTTTTTTTTTCCAGAAATGCATCTTGAAACAAATAGTGGTGGTGGTTGTACAATATAGTGAACGTAATTAATGTCACTGTACACGTGAAGATGGTTAAAATGGCAAATGTTTTTTTTAAATGTATTTTACCACAACATACACATACAAATGGATCTCATGTGTCACCTCCTCTAGGAAGCCTTCCAAGCTCTCCTTCAAGGTCTGGGTTAACTGCACACACTGTGACTGTGGGCTGTGCTGCCCTGCCTGGCCCTTGTCCATCTAACCATCTGTCTCCCCAACTGGTCGGTGGGCTCCTCAGGGTAGTGACCATGTTAGCTGCCTCCAAAGCCTGTGAGGTTTCTCTATAGTCCCTGAACTGTAGACCTGGGCAGGGAGGTTGCTGGTCAGAGTGGATGATGTCCCATTCTCTGGGACAGTGGGGCCATCTCTCTAAGAGAAATGGGAAGAGTGATGAAGCAGCTTTGAGGGCAGGAGCCGAGCTGAGGCAAGGGAGGGGCAGAGGCAGCTCTGGACAGGACAGTCCTGGGAGGGTGGGGTGAGGGGCTGAGTGAGGCTGCTGAGAGAGCCTATGTGGACAGAAGCACCACAGCATAAATCATCTCTTTACCTGTTTCCTTGTCCGAGTCTTCCCCGTCCTCAATTTAATATAGCGGGCAATCAACTCATTCCGACCTGGATTGGGGTGAGAGAAAAAAATGAGGAGTGGGTGAAGAAAGGTAGAGCCCCCGCCCCATGGAAACCTCACCAGGATCCTTCCCAAAACACTGCTCTTTATTCTCTTCCCCACCTCTTTATTCCAACTGCTCCCCAGGAGACACAAAGGTATGTGCCTCCCACCCCAGCCACCTCTAAGACCTGAGAAGCTGCTCATAGGGAAGGGGGCAAATGAAGGACCACAGGGGTAGCTTTAGGGCAGAGTAGGAAGAAGGAAGGGTGGAACTATGTTCAGTGGCCTGACAGGTTTCCCTGCAGACAGACAGGGCCAGGTGTGGCTGCAGGTCAACAGGACAGCTGGCTGTATGTGCCAAGGGGGGCCTCTCCTGGCATGGCCTCTCCCCTTCACACCCAGACCCCAGCAGCGCTGTTTCTCTCCTCGTCTATGTCACCAACTCCAAGTTTCTGAGTGTGTGTGTGCATGTGTGTGTACATGCGTGCATGTGTGTGAATGAGGCACTCCCCAGGTGGCTGACATCTCATATCTTCATGTGTGTCTGAAGAGTTGTGGACTGGGTTCCTGTCCCAGGTCTGTCCCTGCCATGGAGGAAGACTCTGGACAAGTCCCTTCCCCTCTCTGGTGAAAAAGCAGGAAGGACAGGGCAATCTCCAACATGCCTCTGACAGCCTGTGTCAAGATATGTCACTGTGTCTTGGTGCCTGTTACCCCATGTCACCAGTTATTAGTGTCTCTTCCGTCCTATGAAAGAAAACCCAGCTGTCTATCAGCCTTGGGGTTGGGGTACTGCTCAGGATCATGGACCCCTGAGGGCCTTTGGGGCACAGGAAGAAGTTGGCCAGTGTCCAGGGGCTTAGCACTATGAGAAGGGTGCTAGGGACACATGGCTAAGTGTATGATGGCATCTTCTGGGCATATCTCTCTTACTCTCCAAATCCAGACCCCCTGTCCCCCAACCCCATGGCCTCCCCAGAACAACCACATTCTCCAAATTCCTCTCCAATGACAGAACCAGCCCTGTGGCTCCTCCCTTCCCAACAGCCCCTCTCCACTCCTCTCCCTCCACCCTGTCTAAAAATACCCTATGGGGCTGCCCCAGCCATCTGGGAGGCGGCAGTGGAGGCAGGCAGCTCCCACCCCCCCTTATGGAAGGAGCCTGGAAACACCTGCTGCCCATGAGTGGGGATCTGGTGCTGAGAGGAGGTATGGCAAAGGAGGCAAGGGCAAGGGACCTGGGGTGCCCAGACCACTTTGCAAGCTACCTTCCTCTGGCCTGTCATGTAGTACTGAGCATAGTACTGGGTGCTGGAAGGGAAGGCCACCCAGCTATAGGCTACTGGGGAGAGCTGGAGGGAGTTGGCAAGGAGCCAGGCCCTGAAGGGTTGAGCTATCCCAAAAATGCAGCTCTGGGAGAGCCCTCTCAGGGCCTGGACAAGAGTGGACACTCCCTTCTGGAGGCAGGAGGTGGGCAAGGTGGCAAGGAGAAGGGCCAGGAAAGCAGTAGAGACCTTGGGGGTGGGGCAGGTTCTGAAGAGTGACCAGGTCTGTCTCTCCAGCTCTCTCCCCCACAGGCCCTGTCATACATGGTGTCTTACCACCCCTGCAGCCCCACCAGTTCCCTAACACACATTGGAAGGTGATTAGGAACACACCCAGCCTCACCCATGGGGCTTCCCTACCTCCTTGCAGAGGAGGGACCCTCTTGTAGGCCTAGCCTGCAGCCAGCTGGACTGACCCAGTTTCCTGGGCCCACTGAGTCACCATGAAACCTCCAAGCCAGTGGGGGAGGTGGGGAGAGGAGCAGTCGTGGGTGTAGAGGTGTGGGCGGTACTCTGGCAGAGGGGGCAAGCCTGGCTTGTTTATGAGGAGGCAGCAGGCGGAGGAGGATCCAGACACACAGGCTTGCACGCCCAGACTCGCCCCTGGCGGGCTGGCAGCCTACAGCCTCCTCTTAGGACTTGGCCAAACCGGTTAGGTGAGGGGCAGAGAGCAAGAGGGGGCGGGTCCTGGAGGACAGTGAGGAGGGTCAAGTCACCTCCCCCAGGCTTGTCCAGTGTCCCTTCCCCTACCCACACGCACCGTACATCTTGCCCTCATCTGACAGGATGATCTTGCGTCGCCCGCAGGGAGGGTAGATGGCCAGGGCCTCCTGGAAGCTCTGCTCGATGTCAGGGCTCCACACACCCTCCGCATCATTGTCCAGCCCCTTGTCCAGGCCCTCGGGCCCATCTTCCCGGGCCTCCCCGGGGCTGCTGCTGGCATTCCAGCTGTTGGACGCTATTGTGCTGGTTGCTCTGGGCTCTGGGCCTGAGCCCACTGGGCTGCCTGAGCCTGGGGGAGCAGAAGCAGAAGGATTAGGGCCAGTGTCCTCTCAGAGCAAACCAAGCCCCCAGCCCCCAGCTGCAGGCTCTATACCTCCACCCACAACTCCACTCCCAACCCCATCCCTGAGGCAGGTGCTCCAGGGCAGGGTGGAAATCATCAGAGATCATGCTTATTTAGAGCTGTGTGACCTTGGGTGAGTTACTTCACCACTCTGAGCCTTGGTCCTGTAAAAGGAGAAAAGGGTCTCCTTGAGGTTGTGAGGATGAAAATTTAAATAAGACCATGACAAAGTGCTAACCACAATGCCTAGCACATAACACTGAAGAGATGGTACTTGTGGTGATCATCACCCACAACAACAACAATCCCTAACATCTATCTACACAACATTTTTTTCTTTTATTGTGATTTGGGTGAAGATTTACAGAGCAAATTCACTTTCCATACAGTAGTTCACATATACTTTGTCTCATGTCATTGACCACAGTTTACCACAATGCAACAGCTCCCCTCCCACTTCCTCCCCATAGTTACCTCTTCCCAGTGTCCATCCCTCCATATACTCCTGCCCCCTGAGCTGTCTCCCTGTGCATAGACAGCCCTTCTTTCTCCCATGATTGTTCTCTCCAAGGAGCTACACATTTTCGTGGGGGAAAAGCACTTTCATATTCATTCAGTCCTCACAAAACTATAAGGCAGAGAGGGCAAGGAGTGATGTCTCATTATTCAGATGAGGAAAACTGAGGCTCAGGAGGTCAAGCAGTCACTAGCGGCACCATGATGAACAAAACATGGTTTTGAACAGGTTCATTCTGGTTGGACCACTTGCTGAGAATTCACTTCTACCCCAAACAGACTGAATATAGGTGATTTTCATAGATCCCCATATATAAGAACCCTGACCACCTGAGTATCTTGTTAAAATGCAGATTATGATTTAGTTTATCTGGGGTGGAAGGGCAAATTCCCAGCAGGAAGTCGAACCAGAAGGGTTTGAAGAAGCCCCAGAGCAAAGAGAGGAAGAACAGAAGAGAAATGGGGCCCAGCATTTCTTCTTTGCTCAGAGGGGCTCCTGGGCTCCTCCTCTGCATTTGTCCCACTTTTCAAGCCCCACTGTGTCCCGCTGAGGGATGATGGGGCTTCTGACCCAGGAAGGACACAGTCCAAATGGATAACCTAGGAGATCCCAGTCGAGGAACCTAAACTTGAAGCAGGAACTTCGTGAAGGGAGCTGGCGAGGGAGCAGCTGAGAAGATGCTGTGCCAACAGCCTTGCTCAACCCCACCCGCTCCCTCCATCCCACTTCCTGTTCCCGCACCTCCCCGGCCCCACAGCAGCCCATAAACCACCCACATACCCGCCCGTGCCCTGTCCCACATCGAGGATGGGCTAGGTCTCTGTAAATTGTAGAGTTCCCTACACACGTGAGGCTGGATTATTAATTTAGACCACACCCAGCCAGCCCCCTACACACACAGCTCACCTCAAGCTCCCTTCAATCCCAGAGCCCACAGGCTCAACAGCTAGACCCTGGGACTCTGTCCTGGGCTCCTAGAAAGCAGGGGCAGGGAATGAGGTAGAGAACCCCCCAGAAGATTGATGGGAAGGGAACTCTTTCCTCTCAGACATGAATTCCAAGTCTTGCTGAGTAGGTGAGCACTAGATTTTTCTAACTGTTGAGGTAGGCTTGAGGGGGTTCACTAGTGGAATGAGAGGGTCTGAGGACCTGAATATCAGACAAATGTAGAGTTTAATATGACTACTAATCATAGTGCCTGTGGTATGCCAGGAACTGTTCTGGGATTTTACATACATTGAGTCATTTAATTCTCACAATCACCCTATGGGGTAGACTATTATTATTCCCACTTTAAAGATGAGGAAACCAAGGAACAGAGAGGTTAAGTAACTTCTCTCAGGACACACAGCTAGTAATCACTAGAGCTTAGATCTGAACCCAGGCAATCTGGCTTCCATCTCTTAACAGAGTGGGGCAAGGGTATAGAGCTGAGGAAACCCTATTCCTAGAGAGAAAGAAGTCCCAGCTGTCATGACAACCATCCTGAGTCTGACTAGTAGAGTCCAGACCTGGAGTCCCCTACAGCCCAAGTTGCTGGAACAACTTCAAGGACCCCCACACTGCTATATAGCTTTCACTATGTAAGGCCTCTAACATCACTAGGAATACCTTCTCCTGTGGCCAGTGGGCAGCCTCGGAAAGAGCTGTGCCCCTGACTGGTCAGAGAGCCACACTCAGGGCACTAGCATCCCTAGTCTGTCCCTCACTCCAGGAAGCCTGTACCTAGATCCCTTGTATTCTCCTCAGCCCCTGGAGCAAAGTTCCAGGAATAAAAAATGTGATGGGGCAGGGGTATGCTAGCTGGCAGGGGAGGGACTTCCAGGTTGAGGTAGTTGAGATGCAGGGCCTCCCTCTCTCAGGTGACAGGTACCAAGGGTCTGTCAGAGGGAAGAGAGAAGAGAAGCTACAACTTGTTAAGACCCCTCCTAGTGTAGTCTTCAACCCCAAACCAAAACCAAACCCACTGCCACCAAGTCGACTCATAGCAACCCCGTAAGGGCAAAGTGGAAGTGTCCCACAGGGTTTCCAAGGCTGTAAATCCTTACGGAAGCAGACTGCCACATCTTTCTCCCGCGAAGCGGCTGATGAGTTCAAACCGCTGACCTTTCAGTTAGCTGCCGAGCGCTTTAATCACTGTGCCACCAGGGCTCCTTCTTCAACCCAGTTCCCCGCCCCCCCAAATCCTTTCCTGAGGCCTCCCTCAGAGCAGCAGAGGCCTGGCGACATGGGGGGCCTTGGCAGCCCCAGACTTTTAAAAGCAACTTTCCTGCCTCCCCCAAGTCTCTGCCCGCCTCCCCTCATCCAGGCCATGGCCCCCCCTTCTCAGGGTGATGTCAGCCCCGCCCCGCCCCCCGCAGGAGCACTGTGGCCAAATATGGCGAACACAGCAGCGCTTGGGAGCTGGGACAGACTTGGGGGGGGGTGAGAGGCGGGGCGGGCGGCCCCTGGCTGGGACCGCTGGCAGCTGGTGAGGGGGAGGGGAGCTGAGGGGGCAGCTACAGGACGAGACAAGGAGAGAAACAAGACCACCGTCCTTTCTGTCCTTTCTGCTGACTATGCCTCATTTCCCAGGAACAGGCCCGTAGGCAGTGGCACCAACAAGGTGGCCTACAGTTGATCCCCATACAAAGCCATGCACAAGAGCACACATGTACAAGTATGCTGTGTGGGTGTCCAGGGTGACACTCAAACGAGAGTATTTGTGCCCCCCAAGGTGAGGCACTCACATAGGCCATCGCAGAGGGCAGCAGTGCCAGGCTGGTATGAACTGAGGTCTCTGTCCCATTGCACCCCTCAGGAGGGGCGGGAGTGGGTCCTCGTGAGGGACAAGGACTACTTGCTCTGGTCTTCCCAGAGTCACTGCTGCCAGATGGGAAGCGAGGCCCAGTGTTTGCCCAGAGTCTCCTCTTCCTCAACCTCAAAGCACTGGGACACAGCTCAGGTGAGGGAGGAGGCTGCAGCAACCCCCCCCCCCCCACAGCATTGACAAGGCTGGATTAAGACAAAGGTACAACTCAAGCATGGGGGAGGGGCAAGGACTCAAAGGGGGGCTGGCTGGGGCAAGAGGGCAGGTCACCCTGGGGTGACAGCCCCAGCCTGAGGTAGGATCTCATTTTCCCCTTGTACAGAGAGAGAGGAGTTGGGAGGATGGCAGTCCTCAGGCTGTTTGTTGATGCTTGCCGGGAATCTAGAACTTTTGCTTTGCTGGGCTAAGTGGGGAGAGGGAGAAGACACAAATGAGAGGCAGGGGAAAGGAGACCAAGGAAGGGATGGAGCCTGTGACAGATAGGAGAGGAGGAAGAGGGGGCAAGGGAATATGAAATGGGGAGAGCCTGGGGTGGGGATAAAGAGAGGGAAGACAAACTCAGAGAGACAAAGGAAAATGAATGGAAAGACCCAGAGAGACAGACTGACAAGGGACCAGAAGACAGAACAAGAGAGGCTGTGAGAGTCCCAGAGAGTGAGGAACAAAAAACAACCAACCCAACAAGAGCCAGAGACAGACGAGAGATAAGAGACCCAGAGAACCACGGAAGGAGACCCAGTGGGAGAGACAGAGACCTAGGGAATGGGAGATCCAGAGAGAGATGGACAGAATAGGCAGCAAGCTGGGGAGACCTTCAGCTGTACAGACAGATAGTGAGTCTGTCAGTGGAGGTGGAGTAAAGGGAGAGAGAGAGAAGAAAGAGAAGTCAGTCAATGGAAACCCAAAAAGGCAGAGGAAGAAACAAGATCCAGGGGGATGGGGACACACACAGACTCAGACACGGAGCAGTGAGGGAGGGGGCAAGCCAGGAGGGGGCCTGAGGAGAGGAACAAAGACAGAGGCACAGAGATGAAGGGACAGGCAGACCCACAGGGAGGGAATGACAAGGAGGCCATTACTGGTGGCCAGGGTCAGTCACCACAGGCCATGTCCAAGACCTCCCCACTCCCATCCCACTTGTTCCCACTTTCCACCTCCTCACAACCACCTCCCATCTCCCTCTGCAGAGGCCCTATTAACACACGTCTGACCCTGCCACACCTGCCTCTCTGGGGCCCTCAGCCCCCAGGGTCAGAAGGTGCCCCTGGGTGACAACATGGATGGGGGCTAGGAGGCTGGGTGAGCAGGCTTTGGGGCCTTGGGGAAGGTAAGGGGCACCTGGCTGTCCACTCCCCACCCTGAGGCTAGATCTGCTGGAAGAACTGGCTGGACAGCTCCAGGGAGTTAGGCCAGAGCTGGGGCTGCTGCATGGGCCCTGGACCCCCATCCCTAGAAGTCCTGCAGGCTCTAGACCTCCCAGCCCCACTCCTCCCTTCTAAGAAGGAAGGAAGGACATGCCTGAATTGGGGCCTGTCATGGTAGGGGAGGCAGACTAGGCAAGTGGGGCAGGTGGGCCCCTCCCTATCTTTTCCCTCCCTCACACCAGGCCCACTGGGAGGACAAGCTGAGCCAGTGACCTTGCAGGGTCCAGTGGCCAGGAGCTCTCCACTCCTGCAGGGACCCTGGCCCCCAAAACACTCTCAGTGGGGGAACATAGGTGAAATTAGCAGTCGTATCCAGAAGCCCCTGCCCTCAAACCTGGGCTTGGGCTGACCAGCCAGGGGAGTGCAGTTATGAGGGCTAGGGGTGCCTCCCACCCCTCTGCCTTTCCCTCCTTCCTCCCTACCCACCCTCTCTGTGGGCCCAGCTGTTCTCCAGCTGCCAGAGGCTCCCCCCCAGAAGTGGCCACACTCTGGTTGGGACCAGAGGGGGATGGGGATTTTCTGCCTCTCCCATCTTCATCTTCAGTCCAAGGACTCCTGAGGGACCCTGCCAAGTGGCCACACCCCACCAGGCTAGGGAGGGAGCACCATCCTCCCTGGAGCAGGGTCTAGATTTTTACAGGAGGAAACAATTTGCAGAGCCCACTAGGAGGGAGGTGGGGACCTCCTCCCCTCTCCTCCCTGACTACTAATGTGCTTCCAATTTGGGAATCAAGGCTCTCTGTGCCCACCCCCATCCCCCACTACTTGGGGAAGGGGCTACCCGGGGAGGTGGGGGGGTGGCCTTCCTTCTCTAAAGCTCATCCTTACTGTCACCTCCTCCAGGGTGTGTGTGGGGGTGGTGTGTGTGTATGTGTGTGTGTGTTCAGAGCCTTCAAGCTCTGTTCCAGACTCTGTCCTGTCTCCTCATCTTGTCTCACTCCCAGCCAAGGCTAGGGATCCAGTGAAGGACAAATCGAGGATGGGTGCAGGGATGCAGCTGACAGGTAGGTAACTCTTGGTGTCATTCTCTCAATTAACACATCAGTGGGCCACACCTCAGCCTCCCTATACTTTGGGTCACCCACTGAACTGCCACCAGTCACTTAAGCAAGCAAGCCCCCCATGACAGTCATAATGTCTCCCTGTTCCTCCTCTCTCACACTATAACCTGCACCTCTCTCCTTCCTGTTTTTAATGGCATTTTTTCCCACAGTTCTCCATGTAGACACCATGTGCATCAGGGTCACAGGCCCCCAAACATGTCTCACCATATTCCACACCCTCTCTGGCACAGCCCTAAAGGATGTCACCCACACTGTCCGACAGTCCTAAACAATCTCAGATAGTGGCCACCCACAGAGGTACAGTCTCAGTCACACCCCACACAGTTTCTCTCGCCCGCAGAGCTGCACATGAGTTTCTTTCTGGTGCTCACAGTTTCACCTACACACCTTATTTCACACTCAGCTTATCACAACAGTCTCTTAGCACACATATACTTGTCAGTTATAGTCCATAGTGTCACACTGGTTGCTCTCTCTCTCTCTCTCACACACACACATTATCATGATATAGAGTTTCTCATATAGTTCTCATATACAGTGCCTCATAGAGTCACACACATAGACCATCACCAGTTCCTCACAAGCCTGGGCCTATCTCACATACTGTTTCACACACATATGTTGTGGTCACACCACAGCATTGTACATCACACAGAATGTCACTCATTCTGCTTCTCACACGCACACAGTGTTATATATAGCCACACATGGCATCATACAACCACAATGTCCCATAAACAGCTTCTCTCACACACAAACAGCATCATAACCACATCTAATGTCAGACACAGGTACATACATAGATGGTAAGCACACAGTTTCTTTCACGCACATACGGAGTATGACATCCGCTGACACAGAGAAAACATCCCCTATATAGTTTCTCTCACATACATATGAAGTGTGACACAGTCACACGCTAAGGACATTCTCCCTTACAGTTTCTCTCATGTACATGCAATCTCAGTCACACACAGAGAATGTTGCAGTTTCTCTTATACACGTAAATGCCAGAGTCACAATGTCATATACAGTTTCTCTCACATATCTATCCAATCTCATACACAGTCACACACACAGACTTTTTACCTGCTTTCTTTCTCACACACTTCCAACACCACAGTCTCACTTCCAACACACAGAATGTTTCTCACTTCCAACACACAGAACGTTTCACTAAGGTTCCTCTCACACAAGTATCCAGCATCACACACAGTTGCACTCTCATTTCCCTCTATCACTTCCTGTCCTTTTAGGCCTGGCGGGGAGTACAGGAAACAATCAGCACTCTAGGAAACCCCAAGGGCTGAGGCTTTGGGGATCTGTCAAAAAAAAAAAAAAAAATCAAAAAACACCAAACCTACTGCCATCAAGTTGATTCTGACTCAGCAACCCTCTACGACAGAATTAGAACTGCTCCATAGGGCTTCCAAGGCTGTACATCTTTACAGAAACAGAACGCCACATGTTTCTCCAGTGGATTAGCCAGTGGTTTCAAACTACTGACTTTTCAGTTAGTAGCCAAGTGCTTTAACTGCTGTGCTACCAGGGCTCCTTTGGGGATCTATGTTGTTGTTGTTGTATGCTGTCGAGTCGGACCCGACTCATAGCGACCCCTCCTCGGGTTGCCGAGGCAGTATCACTACGGAAGTAGATTGCCCAACCTTCCTTCTGAGGAGTGGCTGGTGGGTTTGAACCGCCAGCCTTCTGGTTAGCAGTCAGGTTCCTTAGGCACTATGCTACCAGAGCTTCCTTGGGGATCTATGTTGTTGTTGTTATGTGCCATCGAGTCAAACCCGACTCATAGCGACCCCTCCTTGGGTTTCCGAGGCAGTATCACTACGGAAGTAGGATTGCCCAACCTTCCTTCCGAGGAGTGGCTGGTGGGTTTGAACCGCCAGCCGTCTGGTTAGCAAGCAAGTGTCTTAGCCACTATGCTACCAGAGGGGATCTATAGAGGGGTGGAATTCTCTGGCCCTGGCCTCTAACTCCCTATGGGGTCACTGAGAGGACAAGCAGAGCCCTTGCCTCTTCAGCCTCCTCCCCAGAGGGGCAGTAGCAGACATCCTTGCAGACACCAGGAGGGGAGGGCAGGGCAATGCCATGGGGACAGGGCTGAGTGTGACCTGCTGACTTCCCTAACTCTGATTAGAGAAACTCCCCAGAGATGCCCCAGAGGTACGTGGAGACCTGGATTCTCAAGACCACCCACTGAACTCCACAACCTCTGCAGACCTTGGTGGGAAGAAGACATTGTGGCCTCCTGGCCACTTCCATAGAAAGCTGCAGCATTCAGAGCCCTCCCTTGGCCTGGCACCACCAGGGACTGCCTCCACTCTCCTCACTGTACACCTACCCCTCTTCCCTTCCTGAGCAAGAAAAAGGTGGGCAGCACTGACAGTTTGTGTTCCCTACCAGCTTCCACACTCACCCTCAGAAGGAAACTGTCCCTCTGCCACAGGGTTTGGGAGTCAGGCAGGGAGACTGGCTATCCAAGTGGTCTTTGACCACCATCTGTCATCTGCCCTGCCAGACCCCACCAGGGCCAGAACCTATTGCCACTTCAGAAAGCAAGTTCCCCAATTTCACCATGCCATCTTGTCCTGGGATACTTGCCATCTACAATCTTTTCAGCCCACTTAGCTGATTTAGTTATTCCTCAGTCAGCCCCCTGATTTATTCTCACCATTTCCTGATCCTCCTCTCCAGATCCTATCCTCTTCTTGAGAACCTTTCCAGGGAGGGGAAGGAAGGCAGAGTGGGAGACAGGGACTCCTGGAGGAGCTCAGAGAAAAGGGACCCAAGAAGTCATCTATTTCAAGTAGGGAAACCCAAAGGGGCCCGCCAAGATGACACAGCTGGCAAAAGGCCTAGCTAGAAACAGATCCCTGATGTCTTGACTTCCTCAGCTTATGTGTCTCCTCCTGGTTTTAATGTTTTCCCAAACAGCAGGGTGTGTGTACCAGGGTCTGCAAATCTGAAGGTGAGGGTGGGAAGCAGGGATCAGGGTCGCTGATGCACAGAGCCAAGAAGGATCCCCCACCCCACATAGCTCTCCTACCAATCACTGACCATCCCACTTAAGCCATTCCCTAGCCCCAAAGGACTAATAAGCATTAATTATGGCTCCCTTCCTAGGAAGCTGGGGAAGGCCCATGAGGCTGAGACTCCCACTAGCTTGCAGCCCCTTCTTCAGGAGGGGGCAAGACCCCTCAAGTCCCCTTTACCAAATAGCTTAGTCCTAGAAGATACATCTGTCCATCTTTTGCCCAGAGAGTGGGCAAGGAACCAGAAGACCATAGATCTATGTCCTGGGCATGCCCTAGAGAAAGTCTTGGAAAGGGAGCTATGAGTCTGGAGGTTGAAGCATAGTTCCCCCAATTTTCAACCTTCTGGGAGCTTCACTTTCCCTCCTTGCCCCAGGCTGCCCCAGCATCCTAGCTACGGAGGTGTCCTGCGCCTGCATTGGGTTGGCGCATGTGTACACAGAACCTGGCCGCAGGAGAACAGATACACAGAGCGCCATGGGCACCAGCCCCTCGGGCCTGTGTCCAGCCCCCACCCCCATCCCCTGCTCTCCTGGACTACAAGTCCAGGCCTGACCTGGTTCCGCCTCTACCTGGAGAGAGGGAACACACAGGCAGAGGCAGAGGCAGAGGCCGAGGCCCAGGCCGGCCCTAAGAAGCCCTCACCCAAGGCCTCATTCTCTCCTACCCTAAAACAATCTCTCAGCATTAGGATCAGGGCCCTTTTCCCCGGAAAGGTGACAGGGCTGGGTCTCAATGACACTGCCCTAAGGCCAGAACTGGGCTGGGAAATCAGACACAGGCAGGCACCCCCTGACCCTCCCTCCTCAGGCAGGAGTAAAGGACATGACAGACAATGGCGGGACCGGGATGGGAGGTGGGGAGGCAAACTCTGTAAAGTTTAAAGAAGGACGCTGAGGAAGTGTGGCTAATAGAAGGCCCAAAATTCAGCCCCCTAGGGATTCAGCTCAGCGCTAGAGGTACCCCAAACCCTCACCCCGACGCAGGCGTCAGAGCTGCAAGGAAACCGAAACCCCTGCCTCTCTGGGGGCTCACGCCCAAGATCCGCAGCTTTGCTTCCAGACTCCCTTCCCACTCCAGCGCAGACGCGGGCACCGCGCACCCGAGCCAGCCTGGGCGCCGAGAGGCCGGGCCCGAGGCCTGCGTGGAGCCAGGGCCAGGCCGGCGCCGGGAGAGCGCGGACCAGGAGCCGGGAGTCCAAAGGGCGGCGGGGCCCGGGACTGGGCGTCCCGGGTACGAGCTCCCTGGTGGCAGGCCCCCAAAAGGTTCGGCCCCCAGAACCTCGCCCCAACATCCCAAGCGCGGACAGCAGGGCAGGAGATGGCACCGGGGACACACTTTCCCAGTTCCCCTACCTCCCGGGACCAATTCGTCCCGATTGCGGGGTGGTAGTGGGCGGGGCTTCCCGGCGAGATTTCCACCCCCCACAAACTTCCCGGCACCCAGATCCGGGGCTCGGGCTCAGGCTGGACAATAGCTCGGGGCTCCAGCCCCCCTCGACTGCCCCCCTCCACCAGAATCAACCAACCAAACCTCCTCTCCCAGCAGGGCCTCCTCCCGGCGTTCTCCCGGCTTACCTGGTCCGAGCTCGGGGGGGCGCTCCGGCCGGGCCGCTCCGCCGGGCCCGAGGGAGCAGAGAGGGGGGTCGGGGAGGGGGGTCGTGGGGAGGGGGCTGGCCGGAATGTGCGGAATGAGTCGGGCTGGAGCGGGAGGCGCCGGGCG